GGATGTTGGACAAGCATCTTAGTATTCCACTGGTCTGAATTTCTGCTTCCTCAGACCAATGGGCCTGACTCCTCTGTCTCTGCAGAATTCCTGTTACTGCTGTCAGTTTCCCAATGGCAAGGTCTTGTGACATAACATTCATTTTCTCAACTGCCTTTGTGACTTCAGAAAGAACAGCCACTACTTGGTTGACATCCATGGTGCTATTTACTGAAATATTCAAGGCTGTTTTAACCACAGTCTCCCGAAGCTGAGCCTGAGGGAGCTGGACAGTTGGTGTGCCTTTAACATAGTTTAAGAGTGAGGCTGCAAGATAAGCCAAATAACCAGCTCTAAGACGATCCCCAGTCTGCTGAGCAGATGTTGATGCACTTAAACGCCTTGCTGAAGCCAGCAGTTCATGAAACACAGCCGAAAGGGATTGAGTTTTAAGTGGCTTCTTTACGTAGACACGTAAATTTGCCTGGGTAAACGCCCCAATGGAATCACTGACTTGAATATAAAGTGTCAAAGTGTACCTGTGAGAGGGCACTCCAACTGGGAGAAGAGATGGAGGAGTTTTAGGCTCAGAACCAAAGTACAGAATTGTGCCAAATGTGTTTTCCACCACAGAAGTTATTGTGGTAGTTTGGGGTACGTCGGAAGCTACTATCACTTTGTATGTCAGAGGTAAATGGCTGTCAGAAAATCCTCTACACTTAACAACAAATTTTGTCAGAAAGGCTATACCGTGGCGAGGGCTGATGTAACACCTGCCAGCTCGAGGTGGAGTATTTACTGAAAAGGGTATTCTTGAGGATGAAGTCCTACCATCCCAGGTAGTTACGCTTATGTGAAGTATGTAGGATGAATATGCAGGCTTTGTGAAAGTCAGAGCATGTATAGACATGTAAGCCCCAGACCTCCCTGTTGATGTTTTGGAAGCCCAATCAAAATGAATTTCTTTAGAGGTGTCTGAAAAAAGGGACCAGTAATACAGTGGCTTGTTGCTTGGCTTACAGTTTGAGCATTTTCCAGATATGGCAAATCTCTCTGTTGGAATTAAACTCCTCCCACAGTTTTCAAGGCATTTAATGTCCAGAATGAGTGGAGGGCCAGGATCCACCTCTACAACTTGATCAGCATAGGCCTGTCTTCTGCCCTTTTTAATTACCAGGCGAAAGTAGTATAAAGTGCTTCCTGGGAGGGATTCTGGTGGTATTTTTTGAATGGGACCTGAGTGTGTTATCCATCTCAAATCCTTCTGTAATGGATGGCATCTGTTTTTCAGGCTGAATTTCATAGCCTTATAGTCTGCTGAGTCTTTAGTGCAGTACCAAGTAAATATCAGCGGTCCTTCCTGTGCATCAGGATCAGAGGATTCAGAGCCGTCAAGAGTCCAGCTCTCAGAAAAACCCACTGTGCGGACTGAGCCCCCCGAAATATTTGCCAATAGATCGGCTCTCTCAATCTGAACATAAATAATATCATGGGCCTTGAGTGATATTGAGGTCCTAATTGGGACTACCTCAACAGTGAAATAAAACAGATACAACCCGTAATCTAAAGCATTACTGGGAACAGTTAAACGTATCATTTTTGTGCCAAACATTGCAGAAGTGTTCACTGGATTTGACCAGTCCGGCTCAGTTTCTGTGTCCTTAGCAGGATAGACATGCCATAAAGGCTTGACAGATATGCCAATGTGGCAGTCTACATTCAATTTGACAAAGAGGTAAAAAGATAGTGCCCTTTTCTTGTACAAGATAATGGATCTGGGATCAGGTCTCTGAATCCAACACCTGATTATCCTACATTCTTTTTTCTCACAAACCACTGGTGCTTCTATGGCTTTTGCAGTATGGTTGTTGACCCTGACGCTTAAAAGAGCCGGTGTAGGTGCACTGCTGGTGCAGTTCACCTTTGCAACAAACCCCATGTATTTCTCTGCATCAAAGGGTAAAGCAGAGCGACGGACAAAACGCGTGGCATTTTTTACATGGTCTTTGTATGTGTATATGCTACTCTGGACAACATGGTCTTTTTTTGTGCCAAAAAGCTGCAGATGGAAGGTCCACTCGCACTGTAGCACTGGATGTCGTGCAGGGATAAACCATACTAAATAACTAATGTTCTGCAGAAAAGAAAGACGGCCACTGCTGAAAACATGGACATCAAGGTCTCTTTCTGCCAGTGACCTAATCAAAGCCCTCTTCTGATTCATGTAAATGTACATTTTGAACTTGTACCACTGTATGGCCAGAAACTCTATGGTGAGTAAGTAGGAGAGCTCTTTGTATTGGTAGAACACAGTGCGTGTGTTGGGGCAATCTGTGGAAAAAATGCTGTTGTTTTCTTTAGATGTGTAAAATGTTCCTTGGTTGTACCTGAAAATGTGAGTGCTGCTGCTGGTCTTCCCTGGGCAGAGGTTGACATGGATGGGAGTTTCTTTGCCAGCAGTTAAGCTCAGGGTACCATTGAGCAGGTGCAGTTCTCCTGTCAATTCCTCAAACCTCTTTCCATCAACATGGAAGTAAATGCTGGCCACCACTATCTCATCCAGGCTCTGAGGTGTAGAAATGGCACAGAAGTTGCTTGATGGTGTAAATGAACCGTAGGAGTGGAGCCAGCCTCCTATAGCCTGTGTGTCTACCAGTCTGTAGGAAAGAGTACTCAGGGTAAGGGGCTGAAGCCACCAGGATAAGCTGAGGGGCTGCTGAGGAACACTAAGGAGCTTGGAGCTGATACTGAGGACATGCACCAAGTCAGGCTCCACCTTGAGAGAGAGGTTGAGGCTTACGTGAGGCATCTGCTCAATACTGACCAAAGCAACATGGATGCCGGGGCGTCTGTAGCGCACAGTCAAGCGGTAGCTGTAGTAGGTGGCACAGGTCTGTTGCAACTCGACTGTTGGGTAGACAGCAGGTGATGGTGTGTCCTGGTGCTCACTGCTGGGAAGGAAAAGGGTCGAGGGGACACCTCCCCGGCTGACGAAGCGGTACTGCCAGCCGGCACTCTTGAGGCGTGCACACCAGCCCAGCTCCACCGGCTGCCACACGTGGATAACCTGTGTCTGCGGCCAAAGCACGAACAGCCGCATATCCTGCCCCGAGATCTCGACGCTCACGTTGTGGTGAAAGCACTCGGGTGCAGCGCAGGAGGCAGACGAGCATTTCACCGTAAGAAGGCTGGAGGTCTCGGGTGAGGAAGCTTGTGCTGTCTGCAGCACCACCTTGCCTGACCAGCGTGAGATGTTCCTCATAGAGACCGAGTTCAGGTACCAGAGGCAGCAAGGTGGGGATGGTGGCTGCCCCTCCTTCCCCTCTACCTCCGGCCCTGCTCCTGGGGCCGGCTGGTAATGCAGGGTCACGGTGCTGTTCCACAGGCACGACACCCTGTGCTCGTTGTCCTGCCGCTGGAAGACTTGGCCGTAAGGGCCTGGGCAGCTGACCCGCAGGGGTGACGGCTGGAGACGGACAGGGGTCGCCGCCGAGCCGCGGTGGCAGCAGGCGAGCAGCTGCAGAAGAAGAAGAAGCGCGGCCATCGCGGCCAGAGGGGACAGGGCGGAGGACGCAGA